GGCGGGGGGGGCGCGATTGGGAGGTGGGAAAGGAAGGTGGGAGAGGGGAGAAGGTGGAGGGTGGCCGCCTGGGGTATGCGGGCTGATGTGCATGCGACTTCGACAAAAGGGGAGATTGCCACGGGGTGGTGCTGGAGAAAGCGGCATGCCTCCCTGTGATTCTGGCGGGTGCCTCTGGATGCATGCGCTGGCTGGTCGACTGTAGCGAGAGCAACAATACTTCCCATGGCTTGGTCTGGCTCTAGAAAGGAGCAGGGCATCTGCCTGTCCTCCCATGATCGATATCCTTGAGTGTCACAGCGCGCCGCCGGGGGGTGCCAGAGGCCGTGGGCGGCGGGAGGGCGGTGAGGGCGACGGGAATGGCATGTCCTGGGGCAGGCCAGGGGAGATTCAGGTATGCTACAGAGCGAAAGTTCCGAGGTGGCTTTGGGTCTCACGAATGCAGTGAGTTTCACCCTGATATTTGCCACATTCTTGCAACCTTGAGACGAGTAGAGCTGGATCTACAAAATCCGTGCTGATGGCACCGCCCTCTGCAGCAGCCCAGTGCTTACCCGGTGCATCCCCCAGTGATTAGATGCCAGGCCACTTGACACCACATTCTGCACTCTGGCAGGAGGAGCTGCCAGACAAGGAAGTGAAGCCGGATTTCGGTTTGTCGGGAGCACTGGCAGCCGAGACCAACACTGTCAAGTGCGGGGGCATGCCTTTCTAGGAGTGTCTATGTGGCAGGGCGGATCCCGCTGAGTTGCTGCATTGCGCCATGTTGGCAGTGATTGGGCATTGCTCCGCCTTGCACCCCGTTGGGCGCATCCCTGATTCCCTTCCACCCATGACCAACTCCACAGCGGTGTGGTACTACTCTATCAGGAGCCACCCGAGGCCTCGATGCCCACACAACAGTGGAGGCTATACACCTTCAAGAGCGGGGAGCCACATGGGAAGCCCCTCTTTCTTCACAGGTGTGGTTGCATCGCATGCTGCTGGTGGCTGTCCGGCTGGGGCGGCATCGTGAGCTGTGCCCAGGGAGGGCTGGCATGAGTGGAAGCTGCCAAGGCAGTCTTTGGACCAGGAGTGTCCCCAATAGCTTCAAACTTTCAGATTTGACTTGGCACAGCCTGAGCCAGAACACGATCAACATGGTGTTTCTCATCACCCTGCGTTCAGGCAGAGCAGCTACCTCTTTGGACGTGACAGGACGGTGGTCGACATTCCCACGGACCACCCTTCCTGCTCCAAGCAGCACTGTGTGCTGCAGTACAGGTGAAGGGATAGGTTTTTGCTGCATGGTGCACCGTGTGGATCCAGGGCCGATGTAAGGGCTGCTCTTGAATCATTTCCAAGCCAGATACATGAGCGGGAGAAAGGAGGGTGAATTCCAGTGGATGGACTCCGCTTCTTGACGGGTGGCATGTCGCGATCCTCAACATAATTCCTTACAAAGCCTCCATGACCACGATTACCAGGCGAACGGAGAAGGAGGGCGCTGATGGCATGATGGTGGCTGCGGTGCGCCCCTATCTCATGGACCTGGGGTCCACCAACGGCACATTTCTGAATGGCGAGCGCCTGGATGACAAGCGCTTCTATGAGCTTCTGGAGCAGGACATGATCCGGACGGGGCCCCCGCCCCCCCCCTTTGCAGGCTGCGGTAAGACGCTGTTGGCCAAGGCCATCGCCAACGAGTGCCAGGCCAACTTCATCTCCATCAAGGGCCCCGAGCTGCTCACCATGTGGTTTGGCGAGTCGGAGGCCAACGTGCGCGAGATCTTCGACAAGGCGCGCCAGTCCGCGCCCTGCGTCCTCTTCTTTGACGAGCTGGACTCCATCGCGGTGCAGCGCGGCGGGTCGGTGGGCGACGCCGGCGGCGCGGGGGACCGCGTGCTCAACCAGCTGCTGACGGAGATGGACGGTATGAACAGCAAGAAGACGGTGTTCATCATCGGGGCCACCAACCGCCCGGACATCATCGACCCGGCGCTGCTGCGCCCGGGGCGCCTGGACCAGCTCATCTACATCCCGCTGCCGGACGACGCGTCGCGCCGCCAGATCTTCAAGGCCTGCCTGCGCAAGAGCCCCGTGGCGCCCGACGTCGACCTGGACCTCCTGTCCAAGGTGGGTGTTGTGCGGGGTGGTGGTGTTTGGGCAGGAAGGAGGGGCTGGTGCTCAGACATCAGGGTTTTTTGGGGGGGGGGCTTAGGGGTGAGGCAGAGGGAGGTGTAGAGTGGTGGGAGGGTGGGAGGTGAGCCCGCACTCTGGGCTTGGCAGGGAGATTGAGGCCCAGGAGGATGGAATGTGGAGACTGCTGAGTGGTGTGGGGGCTCCTGCAGCGACCAGGGAACCCGAGACTCTCACCGTGCACAGCGCACTGTCTGCCGAGCCTGCGGAGGTGTTGCTCTGGCGTCCCTTTGAGCAGCCCCCTAGAAGTGCCTTGGATCCAGAGGACCCCTCCACCCCCCCCCCTCCTCTCACTCGCCAGGTGACCAATGGTTTCTCGGGGGCAGACATCACGGAGATCTGCCAGAGGGCGTGCAAGTATGCCATCCGCGAAAGCATCGAGCAGGACATCCGCCGCGAGGCGGAGCATGGCGCCAGCGAGGCCGCCGGCGAGCTGATGGACGAGGACATGCCGGACCCGGTCCCTGCCCTCACCAGGTGTGTGTGGGCGGGAAGTGCTGGGTGTGGCTCTGGGTCGCGCACTGGCTCGGGAGTGTGGCGCAGTGTGTGGAATGTGGCCTGCATTGTTTTTGTGGGTCCTGGACTTTCAGGAATACCATGCGCTGTGGCAGATAGGGTGGCACGTCCTTCGGGCCCGTGTTTCCGGACGGCCCACCCCTCCCACCCGCCCCCTCCACAACCTCCAGGGCGCACTTCGAGGAGGCCATGAAGTACGCGCGGCGCTCGGTGTCGGACGGGGACATCCGCAAGTACCAGGCCTTTGCGCAGACCCTGCAGCAGTCGCGCGGGTTTGGGTCCGACTTCAGGTTCCCCGACGCCCCGGGGACCGAGGCAGGGACCGGCGGCAGCGCCGCGGCAGGCGATGCCGCCCTGGCCTCCGCTGGGGCCGTGGACGACGACGACCTCTATGCCTGAGGAGCGGCGCGGAGACAGAGTGCCCATGCGAGGACGGCACGTGCGATCACGGCCGCCCTGCATTGCTCTGTGTGTGGGGGATGCATTGGTCCCATTGGAGCAAACATGATCATGACACAGACAGGCGAGACTGTCCCCAGACGCTTGTGGGGGTGGGGCAAGAGATAAACAGTGAAGCACATGAGGGGCAGCTTGGTCACCCTTTTCCATGGCCGCTGCGCGTCCCAAGCTGTCAGTCCTCATCATCCACTGAGAGAGCACTCATCCCTGGGAGACTTGGTCCTGTCTGATTACACAACAACGAGCAGGTGGCAGGGCTGTACAGGCGCTGCCATGCCCGATGCCGACATGGCCCCCCCTCACACTCATCGCTCCCCCCAGCCGAAGAGCCGGGACACCACGCCCGTGCCCGCTTTCTTTGCCACCCTGTGCGCCAGGGAGGGCATGGTGATGTAGTTCAGAGCGGCGTCGAGCACGATCGGCCGCACGGGGATGGGCTCCAGCCGCGGCGGGATCCTGCGGGCAAACGAGGGGGGAAAGGCGCATCGATACTACCTTATCAGGACACCAGCATTGCTCATTCGGGAGTGCATGTACCTCCTCATACAGTGCATCAAAGCACAGAGAACCTCCCTCAGCGTCTCGCACAACACCCGGGCCTACCGTGCGATGCGAGCGGTGCTCTTGCCCTCGCCCACGAATGCCTGGGGAGCGTCCCAGTCGTCGCACAGGTACGCATGCCCCGCTGCTGACTCAGTTGGGGCATTGGGATCCAGGGCCAGCGCTTCCACATCAGAGGCGGCTCTGTCGCCGAGGGCTGCGGCCTCGGCGGCAGCCTCCGCGGCAGCCACGGCCCTGAAGGCGGCCGTGGAGGACTGCAGAGAGACGAGGCCCCGCACTGCCTCCTCATCCACCCGCTCGCACTCCTGGCGGCCATTGACGTGTTTTGGGGTGTGGGGGGGTGACGTTTAGGCTAGACCTGTCTTTGGGCTAGTTGCTGTGATGTGCAAGCCCTGCAGGAGCATTTCTATACTACTTCTCACACACCCCAGCACACCTGGTGTCTTTCGACAGCATGACCCGCCAGCTCTCCTGCGCGTGCAAAGAGGGAGGCGGCCTCCCTCCAGCTCCTGGCGGCCAGCAAGATGTGTGCCACCGCCGCAGACCTCTGCGCCTGGAAGCCCGCCGTCTGCAGGTAGAAGGGGTGAGTACGGAGTGAGGCAAAAGAGTGCAGCACCACCATTGGTCAAACCCGCCAGTCACACTGCAAGCCATTCGAGGACCACAAATCTGGCCCAGGAGCCCTGTGGCCCCCCATCCTTGCACTCCCCCCCACCGCTTCCCCGCCTTCGTCAATTCCACGTTTGCAAACCAGACAACCCCCCCCCAACACACCACCTCTCACCATCGCAGCGGCGTCGTCCATGATGGTCTCGCCCACGCTCCCGCCCAGCTCCGCCGCCAGGTCGTGCAGCTGCTGCGCGGCCGCCAGCAGCGCGTCCAGAGCGCGCACCGCGTCCTCGGGCCGCGCCTCGGCCCCCGCCTCGCGGCCGCGCTCGGCGCGGCCCCCGGCCAGCCGCCGGCGCTGCGCCCGCGCGCGGCCGGCGTCGGCGGCCTGCAGTACCAGCGAATACCGCCGCAGCGTCAGGTCCAGCACCCGGCCCCGCACCGCCCGCTCCAGCGCCCGCAGCTCCTCGACCGACCCGGACTGGCCCAGGGCCAGCGCGGCCTCGACCCCGGACAGCGCGTCGCCATAAGCGGCGGCGACGCGGTCGGACAGGGCCACCCTCTTCTCCAGGCTGCCGGCGTCCGCCTGGCCGGCGACCAGCTCCCTCTCCCGCTCCTGTGAGAGGCGGGCATGGTCATGTGAAGGTCAGCGACCCCATTTGCGCCTGGATGGGCCGCCGGGCAGGACGCACACTTGCCCACACCACTGGAGTGCCCCCACCAGACTGGGCAACTCATCGCCAACCCCACCCTCAGTCTTCATTCTCGCTCAAAAGTGACCACACATCATCGCACCTGGGCCGCTTGGAGGGCCGTTCGCGTCCTGGCATCGGGCACCGGGAACTTTGCGCCCCTCCACTCGAAGTCGGCGGCGGGGGCGGCTGCACCTCCATGAGCCGCTGCCACACTGTCGCCGCCACCCGGCGTGGCCTGCAGGGCTGCCAGCTGGCTGGCCAGCTGCTCCGCCGCGGCATCATCCCCGGCCCCCGCCGCGGCGGCAGCATGGGCGCCGCTGCCCTCGCGCGCAGCCTGGTACTGGCAGTACCGTATGGCCGGCTCCACCTGGTCCAGGAAGTAGCGGCATACGGCCTGCTGGTCAAAGGTCCCCGCCGCCGCGAGGCCGGCGAGCAGCGCCCGGCAGCGCGCCAGCACGGCCCCCGCCTCCGCCCAGTCGCGGCCGCGCTCCTGGGCCAGGGTGCCGGCCATGAGCAGGGCGTAGGCCTGGGCCTCCAGCGAGGTGCGCGAGTCGCAGCGGGCGGAGGCCAGCGTGCACAGCGCGGCGGCGTGTGCGGCAGCCTTGGCCAGGCGACGATGGAGGTGCGAGCGCATGGGCCCGGGCGCCGGGGACGATTCGGCCTCGTTCTTCAGGTCCATGGCGTGGGCCCAGGCACGCTCGGAGGCCACCAGGGGGATCATGACGTGGCTGTGCGACCAAGGAGGGGAAGGAGACGAGGGGATGAGTGGGGTAGGAGGGTATGTTGGATCGAGGCTGCATGCTATCGGGGACGGGGACTGAAACGCAGTAGGGTGTCACCTGCAGAGCAAGGAATGCCCTTTCCCAGGTATGTTAGTGGCTGCAGCAATGCATCGAGGCTGTGTTGAGCTACTGCAGGAGGTGAGGAGTGCAACTGCCATGGCATCACTCCCATGCCAAGCACATCAGGCCACAGGGATTTTCACGGACCGTGCATCCTTGACGGTGGCCGGCTCCAGGGCCTTCTTCTGGAACCTGCCGCGCCCATGCAGGAACCTGACACCCTTGTATATCCGGCGCAGGCGGCGGGAGCAGTACTGCCTGCGATGAAGATCATTCTCAAACGTGGCTTGGTGATGACCACGCGCGTGAGCCCCTGTCCGCAGCAATTCGATCAGGCCATCCCGGCATTACAGCACATTGATGCATAGCTTACCTGTAACGACTGAACTCCTGGTGCTTGAGGCCGTGGGTGCTCTGCGCATTGCGCACCGTTTCAAGGATGGGCACGGACAGTGGCTCTCGCCCAGGTGCCTCGGGCGGGGCCTGCGGCCCCGCCGTCTCCACGCCCTCCATTGCAGCCATATTGCGGGTGTGATTGGTGTGCAGCGCGTGGAGCGGTAATCGAGGAGTGTTGCAACCCGATCGAGTGCCTGAGATCAGAGACAGGATGGTACTGCTGTGGGGTCTTGCTTTGCATCTCATGGAGGACCTCTCTTCAGCATCCGTATGAGCCGACATCTCCTTGTCTAGAACTTTTCAGCATCACTCGTACTCGAGTGTTGCCATTGAATCGCGAGTGGATCGCGGCTGGGCAGAAGACATAACGACCCTTCCCCACCAATGTCAGGCGGCCTGACCCTCGCCCCCCGCGCTCTCCATCGCGGTGGTGAGGCGCATGAGGGTGCGCAGGTGCGACGCGACCCTGGCGGGCGCGACGCTGGAGGCGTAGGGCAGCATGCGCTGCGCCAGCAGGTGCACGTGGCCCTGCACGACGCCCAGCCGCTTCAGCAGGGGGCCTACGCCCACGCCGGCCGCGCTGGCCACCTCATCCACGCGCACATCCAGCTGGGCCATGGAGGCCGCCAGGAACAGGGCCACGCCGGCCTCCAGGCCGGGGCGGCAGCCGGTCGGCACCTGCGCGTCCAGCCAGGGCAGGAGGCGGGTGACGTCCCTGCGCAGCGTGCCCAGCGTGTCGGCGGGCAGCGGGCGCCCAGCGTCCCCCCTGCGTGCCGCAGCCAGCCGGTCCAGAGCTGTGAGGGTCAGACTCGTGGGGCTGATGGGCGGGGGCTGCAGCTCCAGGGCCTGCGCATGGAGCGCAGGCTTGGTGTGTGTGGGGTGGATCATGGCGAGGACCGGGTGAAATGGCCGCATACCAGGCTTCATACATTGGCCGATGACTCTCACTCGGCACAGTGCAGCATGAGGGGGTCTTCCGGCCCCCCCATCCCTAGGCGCCTCACCCTGGAGAGCGCCAAGAACGAGTGGCCCACCCGGGTGGAGTCGGAGCCGGCTGCGCCGGCGACGGTGGCGATGGAGACCGGCTGAGCCTCCAGGCGGCAGGCAGCGTACACCAGGGCTGCCAGCCCGGCGCCCGAGGTCAGACCGCGGATGTGGAGCTTGGCAGCACGCGCCGCCAGTCCCTCGGCGGTGATGGTCACGGCGGATGGGAGGTTCAGCAGAGGGGCGAGCTGGGCCAGCCGCTTCCTGACTTTAGCCTGGGTTGCAGGTGGGGAAGAGGGGCAACACCACATGCATGGGATGGATACAGGACGCTCTGCAGGATGGCTCGATGTGATGTGGCTGCACATCAAGTCAGGGTGCCTACGCACTATTCCCCAGCATGCACCCAAGAAGGGCAATACCTGCGTCCTCTGGGCAGCCTGGCCCGGTGTACTGCTGAGGACACGATGCTGGGGCGGGACTATGTGCGCGGCGGTGGTGCCGTCCTCGCCCGGCCGTAGGTGCTGGCCCAGCGGTCCATGCCCCCTCGGACACCATGTGAGCTCCGCCAACAGGGCAGAGTCGGAGCCCGAGAGTACATGGCCGCACGCATTGCAGGCGCCAAAGTCCTCCCAGGATGCAGGGTCTGAGTGGGCATGTCCACAGGATGGGCATACCGTGGACGCCGACGCTGTCGCCAGTGTGTCGAGAGTGGGGCTGTCTGCCTGCCGGCAGAGAGGCTGGGCTTCACCTACGATCGCACGACATGCAGGTCAACATGGCCATATGTTGTTTCATGGACAGATCGCAATTGCAACTGACTGACAGGCATTGATCAGAAATACGCTCCGGAGGCCCTGGCCTAGTTCCGAGTGGTGGCTGTGGGGAACACTGTGCCTGGGAAGCTGACGGCACAGTCTGCTCTCGCAGGGACTCCATCCGTACTTTTACCACGCAGATGGACCAGAAGGAGGAAATCCTGCGTTGGCCATCGATTCGCACTTGTCACGTGGCTTCGACCCTAGCACGAACTTGCCAATTGATCCCCCCAAATTTCTAATCTCAGTGGACCTCGTTTCGCAGAGTACTACAGTCCGTTTCTGCATCACATCTAACTGCAAAAACAATTTACCTCTTGAGTCCTGGTATCTCAGTGCCCGTGAGTACTCTTGTCCGACCCTTGAGCGCATCACCGCCATGCCGACCGAGACAAAGATCGGCTTCATCGGCGCGGGCCAGATGGCCGAAGCCCTGGCGCGTGGCTTCATCAACCAGAACATGGTGGAAGCCGAGCATGTCTTCTGCACGGACCCCGTGGAGGCTCGCAAGGAGGTCTTCCGCTCCTTCGGCACCGTTCCCGTTGACGGCAACATCGCGGTGGGACGGAGTGCATGACGGCCAAGCCGTGGGCAGTCCCGCAGTGGGTTATGATTTGTACGTCACTTGTGCGTTCGAAGGTGCCCAGCACGCCACCATGCAGCCGGTCCTGCACAGCGGCGCTCGCATATGCATGCGTGGAGATCTGCCGGGTAGAGCAACAACCCACCTCTGCTCCACGTGCGCCCAGGTGGCCGAGGCCGCGGAGGTCATCTTCATCGCCGTCAAGCCCCAGTACGTGCCGGTGGTTCTGCGCGAGATCAGCCCCAAGCTTACCGAGAAGCACCTCATCGTCTCCATCGCCGCCGGGGTCACCCTGGCTGTCCTCACGGTGAGGACAGGGGAGTTGGATCTGGGCAGCTGATCCCGGCTGCGCCATCGCACCCTGCGCCCGGCCCCAGCTCCCCGTGATCTCGAGCCTGAGCTGGCCCCTCCTTCCCATGTTGACCCCTTCCCCCGCTCAAAATCCCTGGCAGGAGGCTGCCGGCCCCAAGGCCAAGATCATCCGGGTGATGCCCAACACGCCCTGCCTGGTGGGCGAGACCGCGGCCGCCATGTGCCTGGGCCACGGCGCGGGCAGCGCCGACGCCGACCTCCTCCAGCGCCTGTTCGAGTCTGTGGGCCGCATCTTCCGGGTGGACGAGAAGCTGCTCAGCGCGGTGACGGGGCTGAGCGGGTCGGGCCCGGCCTACATCTTCCTGGTCATCGAGGCTCTGTCCGACGGCGGGGTGCGGGCGGGCCTGCCACGCGATGTGGCGCAGGCCCTGGCCGCCCAGACCGTGCTGGGGTCGGCCAAGCTGGTGCTGGAAACCGGGAAGCACCCGGGCGCGCTCAAGGACATGGTCACCTCGCCGGCAGGTGGGTGGGCGGGTTCGCATGGCGAGGGTGCCGAGGCGGCCAGCGGGTCGGGCAGGGCCCGGGGGTCCCAAAGGTGAAGGTGGTCGCCTGCAGGGCTGCTGCCTCCCCCTGGGCGGCCCGTGGCTGCGCTGTGGAGGGGAAGGCATGGCGGATCAGACAGGGCTCCTTGGATTTACGGCACCAGGGAGATGGCCGAGTGCACCAGCACCACCCTGAGCCAGTTGCATGCACCAGATCCAGCACCGCCTGCCACGCCGCGCGTTTGACGCAGGCACGACCATCGCTGGTGTGCACGAGCTGGAGAAGGCTGGCATCCGGGCGGCGTTCATGAACGCGGTCACCGCTGCCTCTGCCCGCGCCGACGAGCTGGCGGAGTAGGGGTGTGTCCTTCTTCATTCGATCTGGGCGTCCCCTGATGATGCACGGGTGCTCAGGCGCAGGTATCTGCCAGCTCCAGCCCTGGAGTCCCTGGGGCCGTCCACCATAATCTTTTTGTTTCCTTTGAAGGCCTCCGTTCTGCTAGAGAATGTATCTGCACAATGACATGGTGTGTCAGCAATCACAGAGCCTGGACGGGAGGCAGGTCTAAACTTTGCCAAGGGCAGGTCGGTGCTGCGTCTGCACACCTGGGGGTAGGGAGAGCTTTGTCCCTGCTCATGCACTTGTGGGAAAGGTCCCTGAGCAGCAGAGACTGTATACCCTACATGCGTAACTCGACCATTGCAACCAAGGACATCATTTTTGTATACCATATGCAAACTGTATTGTGTTTCCCTTCTCTCTACCGTATACAGCTGGCTTGATCACCTGCTTGCAGTGGAGTTTTCGAGTCCGGATCCGGGTCCCTTGCTTTCGACAGTTGCCGACAGACGAGTTCCGGGCGCCATGAGCTCCCCCATGCGCCTTGAGACCACCCCTCACTCAACCACCTCGCGCACACCCACTTGTCGACATCCCTGCTCGAATCAATTGCAGCGGGTATGCATGACAGCCTGTGGACTCTGACTTGATCCCAGATTGAGTCGTCACATTGTTGGGCTCCACCCCCCCTCGAGGAGCCCGAGGCCCAAGGGCTGCTCCCGAAAACTTGAATCAGGGGTACCCTCTTCGCATTGCAAAGCATCGAACGAGCTTATAATGGCACACCAGGTTATTTTTTGAGCAGACTCGGCGCCTCAAGGTCCCCTGGGCAGTCAGCTCGCAGAACGGTTGCAGGCCCGGATCTCAAGGTCGTCACGGCCCCTGGGGAGCGAAGCCTGCGAGGACGCGCTGGTCCCTCCTGGAATCCCTCCAGCTTACCCATTGACTGATTTTAAATGACTGGCTCGTCGGCGGATTATCGGTAAGAATCATACACGGCAAGTGTCCCCCATCATGCACACTCCGAGCATGGGGAATGTCCCCATTCACCACCCCAGAACTGAACCCCGGCCTTGAGAGCGAGCCTGACTCCCTGCACATGCGTTCGCAGAGCATCCTTCACCACCCCTCGTCCTGGGGGCCTGCTGGAGCCGCGGCAGGAGGAAGGGCAGGGCCAGCGAGGCATGAGCCTCCTGTCTGCAGACCTGGGCCCGCTCCTGGACTCCCTGCCACAGCTCCCCGCGCTCGCGAGGCTGGACAGCCTCCTATTCAGCAGCCCGCGGTGGAGGGCGCTCCTGGACGTGGAGTCGCCGCATGCCGAGGCCGGCGGCGGACGGGGGGAGGATCCCCGCAATGTGCCGAGTCGAATTGGCAGGAAACGGTCCTGGGGTGAGTTTGTGTGTGTGTGTGTGTGTGTATGTACCTGTATGCTGGGAGTGGGGATCATGCGGTGGGAAAATCAGGCCCTACCATGGAATGGGGCAGCATGCATGGGATTCACCAAGCGTGGCAGGAAGGCCAGGTGCTCCGGTGTACCCCTGGACCTTTTCTGGGAGTGGACCCATGATTCCCCTATTGAGCAGCATTCGTCCCTTGCCAAGCTCATCGGCCCCCGCCCACACACACTCCCCACCTCTGTACCCTCAGAAATGCCAGCGGCAGAGGGGGCTGCATCTGCCAGGCCAGACAGCCCGGCCGGGGTGACAGGCCCCGCGGCCTACAAGTCCCAGCGCACGGAGTACGCGCCCAGCTACCGGCCGGCCCCCGGCTCGCTGCCCCAGGGCTTTGTCCCCGTGCTCCAGGGAGGCTCCCCTGCCAGCCTGGCTGGAAAGCAGGGCTCGGAGGACGAGTTCGGGCAGGACCTGTCCCCCGTGGACGTCCTGCACCGCCACGACTCGGGCCTCAGCTCCCTCCTGCGCAGCGTGCCCAGCGCGCACGACTCGCCAGACACCCCGCGCAGCACGTCCTCGCCCGAGGCGGGGGCGGGCGGGTACGCGCCGGCGCACGCTGGCGCCGGCGCCGGCCTCTCCCGCCTGGCCCGGGCGGGGGGCGAGGGCACGCCGCGGCCGTCGGGACCGGCGCGCGCCGTGCCCGACGCGGCGCGGCCGACGGCGCTCACCGCGGCCGCCATGGGGCCACGGCGCCGGCCGCACTGCCCGACCAAGAGCACCAAGGCCGTGCCCACAGGGGAGAACGGGGTGTTCACCTCCCTGTTCCGGGGGGTGACCAAGCACCGGCTCACCGGACGGTACGAGGCCCACTTCTGGGACGCCTCACACAAGCGGGAGACCAAGGTGCGGTGGGTGTGGGTGTTGAATAGGGCGGGAGCGAGGGAAGGATGGGAACACTGCAGAGAAACAGCACATCCAGAGGCCAGGGTCCGCTGCATACGCACACCAAGTCATCCGCCAATGATGGGCATCATACAACCTCCTCATCCATGCCGACTGAGTCCACAGGGCAAGGGCGGCCGCACGCGTGGGCGCCAGGTGTACCTGGGAGGGTACACGTCGGAGGAGGAGGCCGCGCGAGCATACGACCTGGCTGCCCTGGCCTTCCTGGGAGCTGCAGCTGCCATCAATGTACGATTCGCTGTTGCGAAGAGGTGCAGGAGGGGTGTTCTTGCAATAATTGATGAATACATGGGTGCTGATCTGATGCAGTGCAGAAGACACCACCTGAATCCATTCCCTGTCGCAATGACATGACTCCCGGGCCCCCATTCCTAAACAACAGTTCCCAGTAGAGGACTATACGGAGAGCCTGGCCGAGATGGAGGAACTGACCTCCGACGAGGTGGTCTCCCGGCTGCGAAGGGGCTCGGTTGGGTTTGCCAGGTGAGCGCTCTGCCTGCATGGATAGTTGTGGGGTGAGACCTCCTCCGGAGTGTATGCGGATGGTTTGGGATGCTCGATGCCCTTGTCAGATGCTTTGCAGTCAGGCCCGGACCATTATGCAGAGGGGACTGCATGTCCACGGCAATGGAATCAGAATCCAAGGCCAAGAGTGCTGTCGTGTGGAGATGACAAGCCACCGCCTCATTGCGCAAAACCGCCACGCCTCTGCAGGGGTGCATCCCAGTACCGAGGCGTCACGAAGCACCACCAGCACGGCAAGTGGGAGGCCCGCATTGGCCGGGTGGACGGCTCCAAGTACCTGTACCTGGGCACGTTTGAGAGCGCCGAGGAGGCAGCCCGGGCCTACGACCGAGCAGCTGTCAAGTTTCGCGGCAGAAAGGTACCTGGGGGGTTGTGGGATGTGGGATCGGCTGGTGCAGGTTGGTGGGGATGTAAACTGATCCTATGAGTGGCATGGCTGCCTGCATCGCCCATGGCCATGCCTGCACTATTAGCATGCTGCACTATGGGAGGAGCTGTGCTCCCTGATGTCAGAACCTGTTCTCACATGCCCAATTCGCCAATGGTATACACCATGTTCTTAAATGTACCTGGCCCACCCTCTTCCCCTCCCATGCAACATCTCCGCCCCACCTTCCTCCTCCTCCCCACTTCCACTCCGGTAGGCCATCACCAACTTCAAGCTGACAATGTACGAGGACGTGCTGCAGGATCCCGACTCCTACGACCTCGGCGTCCCCCAGTCGTCCACCGGCCCCTACCTCCCCGACGGCTCCCTGGCGGTGCCCGGCGTCCAGACCCGGTCCGGCGGCCGCGCCCGACGCGGCACGCAGCCCATGCTGCCCATGGGATTCGACCCGGGGACCTCCGGCCTGTACGCGCCCTACGTCCGTTGCGACGCAGCAGGGAATTTGGTGGTGATGCAGGGCCCGCCGCCCGGCCTGCCTCACGACCACCCTGCCACCGCACACCTGGCTGCGGCTGCGGCGGCCGTCGGCCTTGACCCGAGCATGTGGGGCCACCCCGCCTGGACCTCCCCCCAGATGCACGAGGGCGGGGGCGCCTGGCCCGGGCACGAGCCGGGGCAGCCGGGGCTCCAGATGTCGGGGCCCTCGCAGGCCCAGGCCCAGCCCCAGCAGCAGCAGCAGGGGGGCGTGCAGCAGTACCACGACCGGCCCGACCAGCAGCAGTACCACAACGTCTCTGGCCAGATGCAGGAGGACAGGCCTCGGCTGTCGCCCGTGAAGGTGCGGCCGCCGCCCGCACACGACGGCAGGGAGGGGGCGGCCGCCGCCGCGCACCCCCCTGCACCGGGGCTGTCGCCGCTGGCGGCCAGCCTGATGTCCCCCCTGGGCCTCAAGGACGGCTCCAGGGCGGGCTCCGGCGCCGGCATGCCGGGCCAGCCGGGCAGCAGCTCGAGCTGCGCGCCCGACGGCGACTTCTGGGCGGCCGTTCATGTGCGGAGGGGCTGGGTCTTGGGGTGGGACGCCACCTGCTGACAAATCTGGATGCTGGCTGGCAGGGACCCGCATGGTGTGGGGGGGAAATGCTGCTTGTCCAACCTTCTAACCTCTCAGGGCCTGGATTTACGAGCTGCCACCCCCCCTCAATCGCCCTCGCAGTGGCTGGATTCCCTGGACTTGGCACATGGCCTCCCGCCCGCCGGGGCCAACTCGGGCCTGGGCCCGGCCCCGCTGTCGCCCCTGGGCATCACACCCCTGGCACCCCATTGAGAAGGAATGAGGTGCTGTGGGCTCTGGCCGCTGACCCTGACGCCCTTTCCCCCCTTGCTCATTGCTCCGACCCCGTCCCACCCAACTTGGCAGCCCATTCACTGCCACCGCCATTTACATTGATTTGAACAGAGGGAGTGGGTGCCATGCCCGCCCCTGACCACAAACACACACCCTCAGACTTGCTGTTGCTGCTGCGCTGTGAAGCTCCAGTATTCGAAGGTTGGTTCAGGGGATGGAAAAAGGCTGGAGTGGCCTGCCCGTGCCTCAGTCTGGATCCGAGCAAAGTTACAACCTTCTCCCATGAATACAGCATGGACTATGACAAATGATACTTGCATGACAGTGCTTGCAGTCATGTCAATGAGCAGCAATGAATGGGTCGGTCAGTCAGGTGGCAGAGCACGCAATCGGGGTTTGGGGTGGGGTTCGGCGCCAGGAGTCTGTGTCGGTCCGTCGGTCGATGGGCCTGGGACACAATGTCATGCCCTGCCTCTGTGTCAGAGCAGCGGCCTGAGCTTCAGGTCGATCGTTCCTGGTCGGGGCGCATGGAGGTCAGGGAGGGGACGCGAGTGTCGGTGGAGCGCCTCCCGGTCTGCCTGACTGGCCTGTCGGGGATGGTGCCGCCTCTGCCTCCCCTGATCACGCAGGGACTGAGATAAGTGGCCTTCTCTCAGGGCAGGAGTGTGTCTGTCGGCGGTGCAGGGCGTCCATGCCTTGGTCAGGGTGATGAGCGGCAATGTGCCTCAGAGTCGGAGCGAGAAGAAGGGGTGTCGGAGCAGGGACGCCGCGGACCCGCGCTCGTCGGGTTGGAAGGCCAGCAACCTCTGCACCAGATCTGTATTTTCAGGGAGTGGGAGAGGGGATGCATGCGCAGGCGCAGGTCAGGGCGTTTGCGTGAAGGTGATCTGATGCTGACGATGGGGAAGTGGGAATGCATGCGCAGGCTGGGCTCCAGGTCCCCAAGGCAAAACCATCGTCTCCAGCAATCCCAGCTGCATCCCACCCACCCCTCCACCCACCAAGGACGATCTCCAGGTGGGGCTGCATGCTCGAGTCCCCCCGGCTGACCAGCAGTGTCCTGAGAGACCGCGTGCGGCTCACCGCCTTGACGGACTTCTTGCTGCTCGCCACCGCCGGCCAGTCGAGCACGGAGCTGGGGTGCGGTGGGGTACGGGGGATGCAGGGTTGGTTGGAGCTGGAGGCGAGGGTGTGGTGGTGACCAGGGGGCCCCGAGGGTGCGGGTCAATGCCAGTCAGCACAGAGGAATCCGATTCAGGAGTCTCCATGCCGGGGTGACAGGATGCAGATGGCCCCCCATGGCGCCCAGGCACGGCCGCGCAGCGCCCCTTCAGTCCCTTCCAACACCAGTCTCCCTGCAAGAACCCCTGAACCACCACTCAGTCAGCGACATACAACCTTTCGTCCACCCCTGGAAACCCAGGGGGCATCCTCGAACCCCCCTTCCCTCCCGCTCGTGCACCAACAGACGGCAGCCGCACCTCTTAAACAGGCGCGCGACATCCGGCGCCCGGCCAGCCTCCACCAGGCGGCGTGGCAGCGTGCCCAGCGCGGCCTGCATCATGGCCAGGTGCTCCGCGTTCTCGTGCGTCGCGAACAGCGCGTCCCCCGTCAGCATCTCCACCACCATGCAGCCCAGAGACCAGAGGTCGGCGGGCCAGCTCCACCCCGCGCCCAGCACCACCTCGGGCGCGCGGTAGTGACGCGTGCTGACCACGTGCGCGTGTGCGTCGGCGTCCCAGGCCGCCGACCCAAAGTCCACCAGGCACAGCGCGTGGGTGGCGGGCAGGCGCCGCGCCAGGCGGCTGCCGGATGGCCAGGAGGCGCGCACCACCTCCACGCCGCGCTGCAGCACGTTCTCGGGCTTCAGGTCGGTGTGCACCAGGCCCAGCGAGTGCAGGAAGGCCAGGGCCTCCAGCAGCTGCCGCGCGGTGTCACGCACCAGATCCAGGGGGAAGGCCGCGTAGTCGTTCTTCCGCAGGTAGTCGTAGAGGGAGGGACCCAGGCGCTCAAACACCATTACCACGTGGCCCCGGTAGTCGAACCAGTCCAGCAGGCGCACGCAATGCCACCGCCCGCCCGGGTCGTGCTCCAGGATGGTGCGCAAGACCCTGAGCTCCACCATGGCAGCGTCTCGGTACTTCTGCGCAGGCAGTCGAGGGAGAGGAAGGGGGTGAAGCTGTCGACCCGGGAAGCTCAAGGAAGGTCTGGCTCGCAAAGGGACCCTGAAATTTCTATGGAGGCTGGTCCGTGGTCATGCAAGGAAATGCACTGGAACACACACACACACGGATAGGCCAGCAAACCAACCTCCACCCCCCCCTCACATCCCGCCTTCCCATCTTGAACACCTTCCACTCCCCACCTGGACACAGCGGATGACCTTGAGGGCCACATACTCACCACGTCGCCGGTCCCAGCACTCCAGCACCTGGCCAAAGGTGCCCTCCCCGAACTTGCGCATGATCTTGAAGCGAGCGGTCAGGTTCTCCCCCACCTCATACTGGAAGTGCCCCGCCGAGTTGGGGGGGTGCACCGGGCCGCTGGTGCGGTCGGGAAACAGGAGCTCGCTGGGTGGGATGGGCTCTGGCAGGGCGGCCCTCGGCGGGGGTAACACGGTGCGGGGGCGTTTCTGAGGCGCCTCGCCGGGCAGGACAGGGACCTGGGTGGAGGTGTCGGCCTCCTGGGAGTCTGACGAATTGCCGGGAGACGGGGGCAGGCTGCTTGGCCCTGGACCGGCCTGCTCAATCGCCTCGGACGCATGAGGCTGGGGTGGAGGAACGGAGCTGGACCCCGTACGGTCCTGGGGTAGGGTACTCCCCGCCCCGCTGTGCGTCCGTGTGATGCCAACGTCCAGCGTGTGAGGTGGGTTCGGAGGAGGGGCACCCAGCGGAATAGGTTTCCGGGCCATGGGAGCCCACGGGCTCTGAGGTGAGGATGGAGGGTGGCATTGGCTTCCCCGGGGTTATTATAGTGGGCGAAATCAGACTCTAAATTAAAAATGGCTAGAGAATGTGTGCCGCATGGCCCTTTGCCCGTCCCAGTGCGCGCGGGGCGCCCATCCCCAATACCCGCACGTCCGGGCGGTAACAACAAGGGTGGAATGGTCAAGGCGTTGCCCTACTGCGCCCAATGCGATGCAGAATGGGTCAGAAGTTCTTCAGATACTCACATGAATTTTTGCAGTCACACATGGTCCGCAGCAGCCACTGGAATGGGCTAGCAGGCCTGCATCTCGTTCACAGCTGTCACGGGTGTGCTGGATCGTCAAGACAGGGTCAAAATCTTCAGCTTCGCTTCAACACCCCACACTTGGGTTATAGCCTTCATTTTCTATCAGCAAACGCCCTTTTCTACGCAAGCCGGGGCGTCGAAGGGGATGTCGCCAGTGTTCGGGGTCCAGCCTGCGCGAGCCCCGTACGAAATTCAGCGGGTCCGAATCCCGGCCTTTGAAATCATTGTCGACAAATGATCGCGCGCTACTGAAAGAAGATGGCAGGTCGCCCGAGACGCATCTCCTATAGACATACATCATAACTATGCACATACGACTTGCAGAATAGCTGCATGCTCGCTCAGGATATAAGAGTGGGGGGAACTGTGGTATCTGCTTTCCGAGTCGCTGCTGGGGACGGAGGACACTGGGTGGGACGCACCGCAAGACCTTCTGAGCTGGAAGGAAGGACGAATCCTCACACACATACTTCTGGCATGGAGGTTGACTCCTCTCCCGACGGACTTGCTGAAGGTCAGTAATGAGGGAGCACCCAGCACACCCTGTGCATAGTCTCGGTGATCCTCTGACAGACTCGCCCAAACCGCGGTATATTGGCAATGCAGACGGTCTGGCAGGCGGCATGGCAGACCTCACAGCTATAAGACAGGAGGTGCGAAGGCAGCGCAGGAATGCAAAGCAGGCACAGCGTGAGGCGCGCCAGGCCACTGCCCGGGCGCCCGCCATTCCCTCCAGGAAATGCAAGGGCCGCATCGCGCTCTTGCAGGCGCAAATGAACAAGGCTGCAGCTGCGCTGAAGGTGAGTTTGGTGGGAAATGGGGATTTGAATGCTTAATTGTTTGTTGGGTGGGTGCTTGACAGGCCTAAATGCACGAGCGTGTTGGGCTCCAACACCGGCTGGGCATTCTTTGACCACCCTCAGTCCCACAAAGATACCACACATGGCACATGTCCCTCAACACTATGCTACGTCTGATTGGATTGGCTCCATCTCAATGATTCAAACACAGCATCAGGCTGGTCACTCTTTCACCCCTGTCACGCTGCCACAGGCTGGCAAGGCGTCACAGGCAAAGCACCATGCCAGCACTACCGCTGATGACTGTGGAGGCGAAGCAGGCAACTCAAATGCCTGCACTCCCACCATAGAGTTGCAGCAAGATGCCATTTCAGCAGCTCGTGATGTTCAGGGGTGCGTAAGAGCAGGGAGGATGTGAGGTTTATGGAGGCATGGGATTTCAGCTGTGACCAGACGAGGCTTCCACAGCATCTAGGTTCAGCTTGGTTTAGCGACCGGAAGAGAATCGCTCCAGCACCCATCACAGCATCCTCCGTCTGCAGGAGGATGACAGAGTATGGAACAGAGTTGGCCGGGCAGGCCAGCTTTGACCCAGAGGAAGTGATTGCTCGCGTGGCACACATGGTCTTGGAGGCTGGGAAGACCGTGGCAGAGTGAGTGCAGGACGGGGGCTGCGGGCTGTGGCTCTGCAAGCTCACGGTCCTGCCGCAGGGCCTGTCAACCGGTCGCAACTCCCACTTCATCTTCTTTGGACAGGCCTGCGCTGCTGGCAGACAGTCTCCTGCCCAGTGTGGAGCCCCTGCCCCAGCTGCATGCGCTACACTACGCCGCGACGGATGCCAGCTTGAGGGCAAGCCTCGTGCGCAGGGTCCTGGTGCAGTATGCGCTCCGTCTCTCGCTGGCATTCATTCGGGGCGGTGAGTGGCCGGAGGTTAAATTACATCGCAGGGCGTCAAGCGGGCCTCCTCGATCCAGGACGCCGAACCACCTTTCCTCCCTCTCCACCTTCCAGGAAGCTGCCCAGGGTATGCCATGCCCGAGCCCGTGTGGGAGGAGGCATACAGCCTCCTCAGCTTGTTGTGCGCCACGCTACCTCCGTTCCCCCAGGCTGCACAGGCTCTGCACAGTGGGATTGTGCATCGAATTTTTGGTGAGATGGTGCTGAATTGATATTGCCTGCACGCCTGGAGTACCTGAGATGTCCTTCAGAGTGCCTAGAAAGGTTTTCCCCAATGCTGAGGAACCTCTACTGCCCATTCTGGCATATCTTGAGACTTGACCGTGCTTCCTGATGGTCCGGGCAAAGTATGCAGTGTGCCAGTCCTACATCAGCCTCCACGCCACTCTCCTCACTCACAGCAAGTAAGCTCCTGCTGGACCTTCAAAAAATGGCACTGGAAGCCTGGGACGAGGGCGCTGAGCTAGTCTTCCAGGCCCCAGATGGTCCAAGTGGGGGTGGAGAGGTGAGACCCTGGTTGCTGAATAGGCCACAACTTGCATTAACTAGAGCTCAGGCTGCTCACGGTGGCATTGGGGAAGGGAGACCAGCCATGCAAACCTCCTCTTGACGCCTCGTGCGAGGTGCAGATGTGTGAACCCAACACTCATCATCATGCACTCTTCACCCACCCTGTAAGCAGGTGGCGACGCTGGGAGAGGAGTCTGGCGAGACGCCAGACCCTGCCTCGGAGTCTGTTTCCCCGCGCCAGGGATCGGCCAGACCAGCGGCGAATGTGCACACCGGCGTGCCCAAGCAGGCAGGGGGCGTCGGGCCCACGCCGGCGCCCAGCGGGGCCGACTCCACGGCGAGGGTGCCGCCAGCTGGCGAGAAGCTGCCGAGCATCAGGCACCGCCCCGAGTCATCCTCCCGGTCCGCGGCATCTGGGGAGAACAGCGGGACCTGGGGGGCCGGCAGCAGGGCCACCGCACACACTGGTGGAGGAAAGGGCGGCGGGCAAGAGGGGGCCAGCAGCGCCCCCACCGCGCTCGTGACTGGCCTGGCGCACATCAAACTCAGGTCGGGTGAGGGTTGCTGGAGGGGGAAGGGCACAATCTCTGTGTGCACAGTGCACCCAGCCCACGCGTCAGCGTCCATTTTTGCCTCCCTCTGCCTCCCCCCCAAACTCCCAGGCACAATAACACAAGGGCACTGAGTTATCAGGTGCGGGCGGGGTTCGGTGTCGCGGGTACATCCCGGCACAGCGCTCCCGGCAGCGTCACGCCGAGGGAGGCCGGCGCCCAGCTGCCGCCGCGGCAGGGCCGGCGGCGGCCGGAGGGCGGGCATGCGGAGGGCACGTCCCATGGCCAGAGCACGGGGTCTGCCAGGCCGGAGACTGCTCGCGGGGAGGTGGCGCGGCGCGGAGGGGAGAAGCGCAGACGCAGTCCCCGGCGATCCGACGCCCCTGGCGAAGAGTGCGTGTGTTGGTGGTTGTGATGGAGTATCCGTCGGGGTTTGAAGCCCTGGGTAGGTCCATGCACCCCATGGCTGATGTCTGAGACTCAGAGCGCATGCCCCTGCCCTCTCTGCGAATGTTGTCCCGACATGACCCTTGCCCGGCTGAGGGGTGAGGCTGGAAGCGCCCCTGCACATCACTCCGAGTCCCGGCAGCCCCCCCTCCCCGCCCCTCCCCAGCCATCCCTGCATACCCCCCACCCCTTCAATCACTCTCACACAGGGTGGGCATCGTCAGCCCCCCGGCGGCGGCACAGGCGCCCGGCAGCCGCCAGGGCATCCGCGCCGACGAGGAAGACCCCTTCGTCCCGGGGAGCGAGATGAGGCCCGGGTCCGGTGACCAGGCTGCTCCCCGCCGACACTGGGCGGGGGTTGGCCTGCTGCTGCCCCTGGCATTCCCCGGCGGGGAGGCGGAGGGGAGCGCCCCGGCCCAGCTGCCAGGAGCCCTCGTGCCCGTGTTCTCCATCGGGCCCACCCCTCCCACCTCCCCGGGCTGGCCCGCCACCGCCCTGGGGATGGGGGCTGAGGAGGACAGGAGGGCACGAGCTGCGACGACGGCCCTCGGCCCGGCCCCTGCCGCCATGTCCACCTGGCTCACCAACGCCCATGCCGCTCGGTGAGTCGACTGCTGGAAGGCAGGACTGGTGCCTGGTGCCTGCCATGCATGTGTTCCCTGACGAGCAACCACGCCTGCTGCGATTGTCAGGTGCGCATGGGTGATCATCGCGCCCATCGATCGGAGCCCCTCACCCCCCAGCTGCTCGACCCTGTCTCACACCCGGCCTTCAGGGCCGCACACGCCAGAGCCGATGGTGGCGCTGAGCAAACGTTCGCACCGGGGGGTTCGCCCCCGCAGCTGCACGAGATGCACTGGGACAGGGGCCATGCTGCTGCTGAGTCGGCAACCCCAGACGGCTCCCTGCGGGAGGGGCCATCCCATGCTGGGCAAGCAACGATGCAGGCGGGAGGCTCAGGCCCTGGTGCAGCCAGCCCTGTGCTCGCCGCAAAGGACGGAGCGACGGCAGGGTGCAGCACGGGAGAGCCCCAGGACGAGCAAGCCCTGGCCCCTGCCTTGCCGAGACAAGCATTGACAGGCGGAGACTTCTTGGTGCTACCCACGACGGCCACAGGAGCAGCAACAGCGCCCGGTCAGCAGATACAGGATGCGGCAGGAGCTGGCACAGAGGAAGACGGCGCAGCGGCAGCCGATGAGAGCAGACAGGGCAAGAGGAGCGCGCCGTCTGAGGAAACAGGCGGGCCAGGAGAGACACAGCCATCAGGCGATGCCAGGCCTCCCTTCTTGATCATCCCAGAGGACGTGGCGGGAGTGGAGGGGCCTGTGACATTGGGGGGCCCATCAGCGTCGAAGCATGGCGTTGACACTGCACGGGCCGCCACCTCTGTGCTGCCAGATAACGGTGGGGCCTGTTCCACAAAGTCTGTCCGAGTCCGTCGGCGTAGCCCCAGGCAGCACCCATCCGACTTGGCAGACCCTCCCTCAGCATCAACTTTAGACGGGAAGTTACCAGCCGCCAGGGTCGACACCAGCAACACCGACATCGCCAGCGCTGCCATGCTCCTTCCACACCTGCCAGCCCCGACTGGCGCATCGGCAGTAGCAGGTTCCCAGACACGCAGGACCTCAGGCATGACTGGAGACCCAGGTACATCTGCTGCGATTCCTGCGAGGAGGACGCAGGAGCGTGCAACACTCCACATGCCTGCGAGTGGCGAGGGCCCTCACATCCCGGCTGCGCCCAGACTCACTCGCGCCATCGCGAGGCAGCAGGTATTGAGTGCTGCTCAGGACAGAGGGGAGTGTGTTTGGGGGATGTTCTTGATACATGAAGCTTAGGGATGGAGCCCACGGGCAGCGGGGAAGATGTGACCCTCACTCGACCCGCAAGCCGTTTTACTAGGAATTGGAATGAGACAATGCACGGCATGCCTTGCCAATGCCACTCCCCATTACCTTCACCCCTGCAGGCGCAGGCGACCGCTGCCACGGCCCAGAGACTGCAAGCTTCCCGCCAGCTTCCTGTTAAGGCGGTGCCCAGAACAGAATCTGGTGTTGAAACGGAGCAAGCACCCCCACCTGGACCCGTGCGGTCCCGAGATCGCCAGGTCGCGTGTGCTGGGACCCCTGCCATTGGAGGGGCCAGCAGGTCGGAAGTCGTGCAGAGTTTCAAGAGTCCCAGGATGAAGAATGGACTGGCTGTGGCGATGCGGCGAGCCTCGGTGAGTTGGGATGCGTGGCAGTAGCTGGAGGTGCTTGTGTGCTGGTATTTCTTCCTTCCTTACGAGTGCTCCTCCCTGCTGTGACTGCCGCTTGACTTGCCCAGAGGTGGGGGGAATCGGGCAGGCAGCAACCTCCTCGTAGTGTACACACGAGGTTGCAGCCAAGCATCGCTGCCCTGCTCTAAGCCTCCCTCCCGCTCCCACGCACCGCAGGCGAGGGCGGGGAAGGCCGCTGCGGCCAAGCGTCAGACCATCCGACCTGCATCGGGGGCCAGCACAGTGGCTTCCCCAACCTCTCCTGACACGCTGGGCATGCCGCCCTCGCCGTACTCTGGAAAGTACGACCTCTTGCCGGACAGCCAAGCCAGCGAGATAGAGACAGCTGTGGGAGCACAGCGCGCAGAGCGCGTGGGTGTGGGCGGAGCGGGCGGCCAGGCCTGTGGCTGGCCGGCAGAGAATTCCAGACCAGTGACAGCGCCCCGGGAAGGAGCCGCTTCCCCACCAGCGCCGCTGCCCTCTGCAGCGGACAACGCCAGCCCCAATCCCCGTGGCAGTGGGGACAGGGAGCATGCCGCGCTGACCGACAGCCACCTCGAGACCGAGGCAGAGGACGAGGGCCCACGCCGTCCCACTGCCGAGACGCCCCAGTCTGCCGCGCCCCAGAATGCCAGCCAGGGTCGCAGTCGGACACTCAAGGGCCCTGGCGCGCGGCGAACGCTCCTGGCGGCCTGGGAGGGAGCCAGCGATGCCGGGTCTGTTCTGGCGAGCCCGGCTCCCAGCGAGACTCCGCTGCATGTCGCTGCCAAGGTCGCCATCGATGTCCGCAGGCAAGGCTGTGGCGGGAGTGTGTCCGTGCCATGTTCAAACAGTGTAGGGAGGAGATGCCGAGAGGAGCCTCTGCAGCAAGCGCTGTCCCTCGAACCACCCCAATGACTGCATCCTGTAGACCTTTGGAACCCCACTCCCGAGCACAGGCTGAGCACAGATTCGGAACCCGTTCTTCATCCTCAGTCGCTGGCTGATGCCCCTATTCCCCAGCACACACCGGGGTCGATTGCAGCCACCTGGGATGCCGTGCTGTCGCCCCGAGCCTCGGGAAGACCCATCACACTGCGCAAGGCACGTTTCCCACCGTCCCCGGCAAGCCATCTGGGGGCCCTGGCTCCCCTGGTGTCTTGCCCCGGGCCATGGATGGCTGCCGGCTCGGTCACGTCCCCAGAAGCAATGCTGGCCAGGGCTGCCGCGCAGCTGTTCTCCCCTCCCAGCTCAGGTGCCGCAGGGTGGTGGGCTTGAGGGAGAGGACCCAAGTGTCAATGGCTTGCGGGGTGGGAGCTCGAGGAGGTGGGGCACTTGTCTGTCCCAGCTGGGGCATGCTGCTTCTTGGCCAGGGAGAAACTCGGTTTGACTGAAGGTCATGGACTTGAAGCGTGCCGCGCAAACCCCTGCTCCGACACTCTACTTCTCAGGTCGGCGCAGGGACAGTCTGACCATGCTGCAGAGACTGTCTGTTGACATTCAGGCACCCGAGGGGTCCCTGGGCTTCTGAGTTGACGAAGCTCCATAATGAGGAGCTTTTAAGCCTCGAACAAAGTTGACACATGGGGGTCGGCCCAGGCACCCACTTTGGGGAATCTGAGCATGAGGAAAACAACACCCTTGCGAATATTCCAGGGACTTCGCTGCCAGCTACGCGGATCCACGGACCTTACGCAAGATTGATGTCTTGTTAGTATCAAGAACAGTAAAGCAATCAAGAGGGGCTTCTATACCGCGTATAGTAATGTTAAAAATGCAACCGATGGGACACTGGGACCCCGAGGTAGGGGGCAGAAGGCAAGCATACGATCGACCTTGGTGTCGGCGGGATGCCGGAATGTCGAAAAAATGCAACGGAGCAGATAATCTATACTTTCCGAGACAGAAGTTACTTATAATGAAGTTGGAATCTGTTCGTAGTGAGCATCTTGACGGTCGAAGGGCATGCTGTTGTGTTTCGGAACAACCCTTGCCTGTAAGCCTGACCGGAGGCGCAGCCGCAAGGTCGGCATCCGGCTCGCGGGCAAGGAATGGTTTCTGGTCGTCAGTGGAACACATCATTAGATACTTATTTATTGCCTCGAGAGGACTGATGGAGGGGAAGTCGCGTATCCTTCGTGAGTGCTTGACCCAGAGGCTGGCCTTTGTTGAGGTCTGGGCTCCGTCTGTAGGTGATTCGAGGGACCGTCTGCGGCAGTCTCCAGCTTCGCTTCCAAGAGGGCAGCAGTGGCGAAAGATTGCAGGCTGGTCTTGTAAGCTGCTGGGCCAGGTTTTGCAAGTGGGATGCAATAAAAGAGATTAGACACGCCGGGCGCATGGCGTGCTGGGGCAGGGCTACGATGGTGAGTTTGGGCCAGGGCAGTGCAGACAGGACTACAGGAAGTGGGCTGCTCCATTACCAGGATCCAATGGGTAACCAGGCGACATATATAATGACATGGGATCGCCGCATACACAGCCGGCGCTATGCAAGCGAGTGATAGCATCACACCAGAGTCCGCCTGCTCGCTGCGTCTTTTTTAATGGTGGCCATCGCGCGGGGTGGCGGACCAAGTGAACCCCGTCACGCTGAGCTGCCAGCTGCTGCTGATCCACCAGACGCCTCTTGAGACTCATCTCCCCAATCCCTGTGGGGGGTCGGCCTGAAGTACCTGCGATCCTCCTGACTCTCCATACCGGCCCCTCAGCTGCTTTTGTGCGAGCGCTATGGCTTGCAGTTCCCGACGTGAGGATGTGGCGCTCATGCCACGGTATGAACAAGGGCAGGCTGCAATCAATACCTGCGTCCCAGCCAAATGCATGCGATGTCTGCCCAGGTCAACCCTCCAATGCATGGCCTGACGCCGAGCCCCATATGCTCGTGGACTTTGAGGATTACATGAAGGATGTCAACTTGGACTGGCTCAATGCCAGGCTGATCAAGGCGCCGTGAGTGACCGATCAGTCATAAGACGCTGGCAAGATCCTATTAGTAGAACTTTAGCTCAAGGGGTTTAGCAGAGGATGAGGAACGGAGATGCACCATGCCCTCTTCCTGCGGCATGGCCATGCATCGCTCACCGACCCATCATCTCTCTTTGCAGTGCGCTGCAGGCCAAAAGTAGCGACATATAGAGCAGCAGGGGTGTGCCAAGACCTGCATTTATTGAGGCACCAGGCTTCCCGGGATCTGCATGGCAAGAGGGATGGGTAGGAAGTTGTTTACTAGGGTGGTGCTCGGAACAGTTAAACCAGATTGTTGTCGGTTCTGCCCACCCCCCCTGCTCAATGAGGTGGCGCAAGCAAAGCCATGTTGTGTCTCTCGACACAAGTGTTTGCCCCATGTCTACCTGGGAGAAAGAGTTCCATGCCAGCGTGCTGTTGAACTCCGACAGGATCTGACTGTTGATGGAAACGACATCCGGCAGGTTCTTCACCACAGGGGCAAAGACCTGGTAGAAGGTTGAGTTCAGGCTCTGCAAGAGGTGGGAGAGAGAATGGGGTTTGGTTGGGGCGGGTGGAAGGGACGAAGGCTGGCAAATGTAGCAATCGATGGTCGGTGAGGGTCGACTTGACTCAGCACACCATACTAAGTCTCATCTCCACAACCGGCTCCCCTGCAGAGAATCTTATGACAGCTTACCGCGATGCTGGCCTGGATGAGGGAGTTGTCGGCGTTGGTGGAGGTGAGGAGTGCCGCGTTCATCTGTGCGATCATGGCAGTGTTGGTCTGGTTGTACACCTGGGGTAAGAAGGGGAGGAGAGGAGGAGGGTCATATGCACGATTCTGGTCGGAAATGCTGGTGAGCTTATGCCATGGCCGTGGCATGGACTAGAAGGCAGGAAGGGGGTCGAGGGGGGAAACAGGAAGCTGGGGTGAATTACCCCTTGAGCCCCTCATCTCAGACGCATCAACTTTTCCTCCTGGGCCACTTACAATCGCAGCCGAGACCAGCTGGTCATTGATAGGCTGGTAGGGAGAGTACGCGCCAAAGGCGGTGATCCCGGCTGAAATGCCGCAGGCAATGAAGAGCGTGGCCACCCACCCCAAAAAGATCTGGGAAAGTTGGGGGGGTTGGGCAGTGATGCAAAGTTGTACTTGTGGTGAGTGTGTACTTGTTGATCCTTTCTACAGCCCAGAGCATGTTGCAGTGGCTTCCCTCCTCAATTCACAGGGATCAAGAGGTGGTTCTGCCCTGGCCCTTCCTCGCCCATCACGGCATACTGCAGGACGCACCCTAAACAGGACTTTGTAGTTGATGCCCTTGAAGCCCTCCAGGCAGCCGATGCCAATGAGGCCACCAGTGATGGTCATGGTGGTGGAGACGGGGAGGCCTGCGGAAGGGTGGTTGGTGGGTTGAGGTTCATGGTGATACCAAGCACCGAGCTCAATGCCCCTCCCGATCTCCAGGCTGCAATGTGTGCCGCTCTCGGCTGTTGTGTTATCATAAGGAAGATTTGGTCCGCCCAAAGCATTTACATCTGCACAAGCTGGAAACCTTGCCGTGCTCACCCCCTCGACAACATCAGCACACCCACCATAGCGTGAGGCGACGGCCACGGTGATGGCAGTGGCAATCTCAGCACAGAAACCGCGAGCATTGGTGACCTTGACGGTCTTCACCTGTTGATGAGGGCATGTGTTGGGTGGTTGGTCCATGCGCAGGCACAGACCCCTGGTCTTGGGAGTATTGGGGTACATTTCACAGAGAAATCAGCGCTCAAGCAGTGCAGCATGCCAACATGGAGCATCCTCCCTGTCCTACATGTCTCTGCTGCTACATGATCTCTGGGCAGCCGTACCACCTCCACTCCCACATACCCTGACATTGACCCATTTTACAGCCAGATACAAACCCCCCTCCCCCCTCATCCCCTCCCCTCTCTCCTTTCAACCCTCCTTACCCCGAGGACCTGGATGATGCGCCAGCCGAAGAGGGCCAGACCGATGGAGATACCCACACCTCCAATGACGAGGATCCAGGTCTGGGTGGGGACCTTGGCGTTCACCTCACCCGTGTTCCAGATGTCGTACACCGCGGCAAAGGGGCCCATGGCATTGCTCACGTCGTTCGCGCCGTGCGTGAAGGACATTACGCATGCGGAGAAGACCTGCATGGGAGGGGGTGATGAGAGTGTGGTGGAGTATGCTGCATTGCAAGGCCGGGCAGTCGGTGGCAAAAGGCAAGAGCTGCCATCTCCACATTGTTCTATGATCACCCAGACCAAGGATCTTGTGCCAAGTCGGTGCCTGCTGCAATAGGCAGTCCATCACCCCTGCTCAAACGTCACCCATGATGACAGCAAAGTGAGCCCCTGTCAGAGCCCGACATGTCCGATCAGAACATGGATGATCGATCTGCAACGAGTACTCACCCAGCTGTGCCACCACCCACAAGGTCACCCTCTTCCTCCCAAGCTACCCCACAGTCACCCCCCCACCCCCCTCACCTGGAGGTAGCGGAACATGGCCTCGGTCTTGAGGTCGAACAGCTCAGCGTTGTCGTGCACGGCCTTGACGCCCTCGTCGGTCTCTGCTACACCGTGGATATCCTGGCGAACATTGTGCAGGAGGATGTTGGTCACCGGGTTGTACTCGACCTTCTCCCAGAAGGTCTTGTCTTTCCAGGCCTTGTCCTTGGCCGCAAAGCGAAGCGCGTGCTGCTCCGACAGGGTCAGGTTGCGGTGCTCCACGTCCTGGCTCCCCTCCTCTGCATCCTTCTTCAGACCGTCGGGGCCGAGGGAGGGACCAGAGGCGATTGCCCCTGCCTCCATCATGGAGGGGTCGCCCTCCGCCTCACGCGACAGGATGCGGCGGCGCAGGTAAGGCATGATGAAGACGAGTGTGATGGCGCCGCAGCCCACTCCACAGACCGCGCCCACCCAGGCCGCAAAGCCATCGGAGTAGTCTGCCCAGGTCCCGTTCTTGGAGCCCGTCTGGATGATGAACGAGACGATGAGCCAGACCATGCCGAAGACCAGGAAGGGAAGCACCTGCACACGACCGTGAGGGGTGTCGAAGTTGGTAGGTCGCATTGTAGCACATGCGAGCACCAGGAGACAACATCTCGTCGTCACACACTCAAACATGTGAGCCCACGGCCCCTTGGCCCCCTCTCCATTCCAAAACTCACGTAGAAGGCGCGCTTGAAGGAGTGCTGGGAGCGCAGGACCCACTGCCTGATGCTGCCAAAGAGGATGACGGTGATAAGCCCACACATGATGGGCGAGACGATCCAGGACAGGAAGATGGGCACCATGCCCCCCACATAGGGGAACTCATCCTTGTTCTCGCTCCAAATTACGGCGCTGCCGCCGCGCAGCGCCAGTGCCATACCCACGGTAGCACCGACTGTGCGTGTTGTGGGGGCGTTTTGGAGTTGCACGGGGGTTGTGCAAGCGCAGAGCAGGAAACAGCTGGTCACTGGGAAAGGCTTGGTACCGATCAAACAAGGGAGCATCAGGAGGAGGAGCATGCTCCTCCGGCCAGCATATGTTGCATCCCTGGGAATGCATTCGACGTTGGCAAAGGCAAGTTTTCCCTTCACTTATCCTTGCAATGGGAGCAATATTACCCTCCTGTGTAAGCCCTTCCAACGCCCCTCACCGGTAGTATGGGTCATGGAGACGGGGAGGGCCAGGTACGAAGCCGTATTGTCCCAGAAGGCGGTGGTCATGGACACGGCCAGGAAGCCGTACATGAGGACGGCTGGGGTGGCGGTGAATGCGTCCAGGTCCGCCACCCCAGACTTGATCGTGTTGGTGACGCCGGCGCCCAGCAGCACCGCGCCGGCAAACTCACAGATACCCGCCACGATGACAACCTGGCCCAGGGTCAGGGCACGGCTGGCCACCGTAGTGGCAAAGCTGTTGGCCTGCAGGGAAACGGCCAAAAAGGGAGAAAAATATGAGGAGGGAGCCGGCTGGGAGAGAACTCCACTGAGGAGCACCACCGACAAAGGCCACTCTCAGTCTAGCCCCTCACCATGTCATTGGCGCCGATGCCGACTGCCGTCAGGAACCCGAACACGACCGACAGGGCAAAGATCTGGAGGGTTGGGGGGGGGGATGGAAATGGGGGGACCCTCAGCGCCACCTTCAAGGTCACAGCTTTATCATCCTGGTCTTTCGCCCAGGTTATACAAAATCGGGGATATGCTTCGACATACATGACATCAATAAACCAGAAGTCTTCGCGACCCGTGGAATGCCAACCGAACTTGCCCATGTGAACTCCGGGAGGGCGGCCATGGTGCGAGGCGGCTGTCCACCCTGCAGTGAGCAGCGGGATTGTGGAGAGTGAGCCCATGCCGATCACGTGTGTATCAAAATCTCTGAGCGGGAGCGACCAAGAATGTGCGGTATGCCGCTGCGCTCGGCTGGAAACACTGTCTCCTGTTCCAGACACGATGGTGAACAGGGCATGCGCTCCAGAACATGGATGGACGTCGGGTACGCAAACTGCGCAAGCCGGTCACCAATCGGTGCAACCCCCAATTGCGCCCACAGCCAGCCTCACCTCTCAGGCAAGGCCGGGAAGTTTATATCGGACTTGAGGAAGGGCCCGGTGGTTTAGATGAGAGAAGTGTTCAACATGAGCTGTGGACGAGGAGAGAACTATAAAGATGGGTGGCGGCATGGCCCCCACCATGGGGCATCGGAGCATGCGAATAAAGCATCTTTGCGAATATACCAGGGTTTTGCTGCCAGCTGCGCGCATCCTCGGATCTCGCGCGGAATTTATGCCTATTTAGCAATACGATAAGTATCGTAATCAATGGAGGCTTGAATACCATGTATGCTTTAGATGAATTCGCGACCAACGGGCAAGACCTCGAGGTCGTGGGCAGTACGCAACCTTGCAGGCGACCTTCGGATCGGCGGGATGCCGGAACCTCGAACCATGCGAGGGAGCAGATGACCTGCTCATGGCGGTCTTAAAAGTCTCTGTAATGCATTCGTAGCCTGATCGAAGCGAGCATCTTGACCTTCGAGGGGCATGCAGTACCGGCTTGCTGTTGTGGTTCGAAAACAACCCTCGTGCCCGATCGGTGGGCGAACTGCTCCGCAAGATCGGCATCCGGCCGGCGGGGACGGAACCGGAATTGGTCGTCAATTCAATTCAGCATTAAAAGATGATTATCGCTTCAAGAGGATTGCTGTGGGGGGAGTCGCGAATTCTTCGTGAGTGCTTGACCCAGAGGCTGGCCTCTGTCGAGGTCTAGGCTCCGTCTGCAGACCTTCGAGGGGCTGGAGGGGTGATCTCGCGTCTCCCTCCACACCCTCTTCCCGGCGGATGCATTCGGTGGCAGTTTCGGGTTGCGATGTCCCAGGGCCTCCTTGGTCACTGACCAAATCGTGGCCAGACGATGAGCAGGTTGTCCCGCCCCTCGGGGTTTGACCGCCAGCGTCAGTCTCCAGCTTGGCTTCCAAGAGCGCAGCGCTGGTGAGAGATTGCAGGCTGGACGTGTGAGCTACTGAGCCAGCTGCCTGGGCCTTGATGCGCCATGTGGCCCCGCACTGCAGCGCGCATAGCATGGCTGCTGAGCTCAAGTGCCCGCTGCTGTCCATGTCCCAGCACTTTGCAGCCAGCAAAAGGTAGCACAGCTCAGTCCTATTTGAGTGATTGGAGAAATATTGTGAGTTGTTCTGGACAGCAACGTGCATTATTACTTCCCAGACTGCTGTGCAGTGGTGGCTCGTCGCGCACTGGTCTAGGAGATGGAGCAGGAAGTGCGCAGTCCGCCTCCATCTACCTGTCGAGGGAAGGCGCCATGTCCCTCATCCATGACAGGAGATCGCGATAGCTGGATCCCACCCGCAGGACAGGCGCTACGAGGGCCTTGCCTCGACGTCTCCCGGCGGAAACCACGGTCTCAATGGCGCGCCTCAACTGCGCAACCCCATGGAACCCTGGCTGAGAGGTGGCAAGCTTTGCAGCCTGGGCCAAGATCTGTCTGGTCGGTAAGCCTAGGGCCCTGGGATAGGGGTGAAGCAGCAAGTCCAGCAGCTCAGAGTCCCTGTGTGGAATCGAAGAAAGTTGAGGTTGCACAGGGTTGGAATGCCTCGCACGAGACACCTGCAACCGTGGGCACATGGCGAGGACCAACGGCAAAGACTTCAGTGATCGAGATCCATGCAGACCATGGACCAGACCGACTCAGCTACTCTCATCCCTGCACACTCACCCTCGCTCCAGCATCCTCATGGGGCTGCCCCGCCCGGCACGGGGATCGTCGGCATCATGCGACCCGTCGGTGCTTGGGCTGCTGCTCCCACTCATGTCCCCAAGCGCGGCAATGACTGCTGCCAGGGCGGCACGTGGTGGGCAGGCTTGCAGGGCTGGGACCCCGCCTGTGAGCCGCCCGACGGGCTGCGGCCAGTCCTCCAAGGAGTACACAAAGTTTGTGACCGGGTCCCTGAGGTACACAGCACTGCCCTCCTGCCACTCCTGCAGAACCCAGATGCATCCTGGGCGAGAAGTGGGGAGGGAGAGCACGCATGTGAGGAGAAGCTCTGATGCCATAAACCTGGAACGCGAGGAGCAACTAACCCATGCTGGTCAGTGCCCGGACTCCGATGTCATGCAGATCACTTGCAGACGAATCGCTCTGCCACCCCACCATGCTGCCTCTGCAGCTCCGCAGCAGCTCCAAGCCGCCTGGGTGTGTATGCATACAGGATGCAGGCTTCCAGTGACGTGACCAAAGACTGGTGCTGGTGCCATGCTGAGCCCAGGTTTTGCAAGGAGGACGGGAAGGAGGGTGATCAGACACATTGGATGCGCTGCGTGCTTGGGCAGCACCACTTGAGCATGGTTGGGACCCGTGCAGAGCTGATAGGAGTGTAGGAAGTGGGCTGCTCCATCACCCAGAGCTATCTGTTGCCAAGTGACATCCATCCACTCACAGAATGAATCGTGCATAGCCTGCATCATGCACCAAATAGATCACATTTGCAACCTACTCTCCCCCGGTCCCGTACCTCTCAAAGGGGCCCGTCTAGCGGCATGGAGCAGCGACAGGATCTCCTCACGCTGGGCTGCCAGCTGCTCCTGTTGCTCCACCAGACGCTTCACAAGACTCAACCCCTTCAAGCTTTGGGGTTCGGCCTGGGGTACCTGCGATCGTCCTGCCTGTCCAACCCGGCCCCTCAGCTGCTTTTGTCCGAGTGTTTTGGCTTGCAGCTTCCCCACCTGAGGATGCATGGCGCCCACGACACAAGATGAGCGACAACAGGCCGCATTGAATGATGAACCATCCTCAACACTGAGCAATGTCTGCCCGGATCATGCACCCAATGCCTGGCCTGACGATGCACCACAACTGCAAAACCCAGCTCGATCAGACTCGTCCCAAAGACCACCATCATGCCGACTCGCCTGCAGGGCGAGTGCTCTTTGGTCGGCCTTTGCAGCGGCGAGTCTGGACTTGAGCTCCGCATTCTGCTTTGCTGCCTCCGCGGCGCTTCGGCGATACCTGTCCGTTTGTCAGGTCAGAGTCTGTGCAGCTGCATCTGCAATTCTTCGATTGGGACACAGCAAAGCATGTCCACGCGGCAATGTCGCCTGGAGAGCCTGAATGGACACAATATGACTGTGCTGAGCTTTCAAGGTATACAACCAAACACCACTGCCTACTTGTGCGCCAGCTGTGCAGCATCCGCATGCTCGCTCCGCTGTCGGGCCAGCGCTGACTCTGCGTCGAGCAGCCTCTGCGCCAGGCCACCCCGGAGGGAACGATCATTGCCCACGAGCGCCCGCTTGGCTGCCTCCTCCACCCGCGCCAGCTGGGCAGACAGACTGGGGAGAGAGGGACGGAAGGCACTTCAAGTGTGGCTCTATCAGAGTGTGTGGCCCCAGCATTCCTTGAAAATGCAGCATGCCATGCATGGAGAGGATCTGGACTTCAGCAGTGAAAATAGAACCCATTGCAGCGTGTGCTCCGTCTCCGCTCGCGTACTCTCTGGCCTTGCACTCCCATTCGTGCGCCTTCCTCCTGGCATGGACCAGCTCCTCTCGCTGTGACAACCATGCATCGCGAGTCACCTGGAGTAGATTGCATATCCAGACCGCGGTTGCTCTATACTGAGATCACCCACTCGTTTCCATGCACTCCCTGCTCTCTCACCGTCGCAGGCGCTTGGCGACATTGGCGCCGTTGCGATTCCGCCCAGCTGAGGACGCTCTCGGATGGGAAGGAGGTCACCGAATCCCCCTCGTCGTACCCCATTCGAGCAGCTCCTGAAATGTCTGGTCTAGAACGTGAAGATGATGGCTTCTTTCTTATCGGCTGGGAGAGGCTGCAAAGTCGTAACGGTCCGGAGTGACGAACGGGGGGAGTGGTTAATGGACCGGCACGGACCGATCGCCTGGCCGGATGTAGATCGGTGCTTGGACCCATGACAATTTGCGCGACTTCATGTGCATTTGCAATAATCGGCTCGAAACCGCTCACCACTACGCAGAACCACGAATTTTTAATCACAAGCAGTACAAGAGGAAAGCCGTGGGGCCTTCCATTAGGGAGTATTCGGGATCCCTGCTTGTTCTGTGGATCCGCTTGTTACAATCTGAAACATCATTTGTACATTTGCTTCGAAAACAAGGGGAACCAAAGGTTGTAGAACACGAAGTGCGTATGCTTACCAGCCACAGGCTGAGATATAGCTGTGCAAGAGCATCTGGATAGGCTTTTCTGATTCTCATTCTATCGATTTAAGACATCCCACTGGAACCCAGCAATCGCTCAATGTGTTCGTGCTCTCTTACCTTATGTTTAGTTTTACCGCGGGATCTGCTCAACCAGAATATGCAAGGGTTTGATGTCCTCAAATGGAACGCACAACATGCTGCAAGTGCGCCCTGAATCCAGCACATATGACTAACGAATCCAGCCATTCCAAATGGTAACAACAAAACCGCGTGGAGAAGGTGGTGTGGTGTTCGGCATGCATGGAAGGGGCTTGAGGGATGAGATCAGCGGTAGATCATTGAAAGACCTCTCACAAGGCGCAACGGCGTAGGCCAGGATGTGGAGGGCGCGCGCGACCACCGAAGCCCCAATCCTTGGTCTCGTGAGGCCCACTTGGGAAGCCATCAGCAACAAAACAAAATCCTTAACAATATAGATACAAGCTTGGGCTTCGCATAGATCGATAGACTTTTGCCGATCCCCAGTAATCCTCCTCGCTACCGCAATGGGCGGGGATCATACGCTCGAGCGTACCGCTCTGCTCAAGATCCTCCTTCACGCGATCAAGTACCCCGCATTCGGTGTCAACGGGGTTTTGCTGGGCAGCATAGCCAATGGCACCGTCACAGCCACGGATGCTGTGCCCTTTGTACACAACTTCACAACACTTCTTCCGGCCTTTGAGACGGCACTGTGCCAGGTCCGAGCCACGCTGGGCATCATTGAGCTGGCCACTTGTTTCTCGAGAGAAGCAGGGCTGAAGTACGGGATACCTGTTTGTTCACCAGCGCGGCAAGCAGGCTGCCTGCACAGGTGCTTTTCCTTCGTCATCCTTCCCAGGGGCCATCCTGGCAAATCAACTGGCAACTCGTCCCGGTTGTACAGGTGGATAACCACACGAAAACACAGAGCGGAGTCCAGGTGGTGGGCTACTACCAGGCCAACGAGCACAACAAGGACACACAGCTTTCCGGTGCCGGCAAGCTGCTCGCCACAAAAGTCGCGACGCTGTGGCCCTCCGCCATCGCCGTTGTGGTACGAGGGGTTCTGGGCCTTTTCATTGGTTTGCCTGGCTCGGCGAGACTTCCCCAGAATCTGCTGCAGTCAAATGATAGCTCTTGCATGCATCAGGAGTTGATCTCACCTCTTCGCCTCTCCGCCCGCTCCCTGCTCTTGCAGCTGGACCCTGAGGGCCTGAGGCAGCTGTTGCAATCCAGTGGAGGCGAGTCACCCAGCGACGCACGGCCCTTGTTCACCCTCCACATCAAGGATGGCCGGAATTGGGTGGAGTATGGAGGCAGGCTGAAGGTACACACAGCTGGGATTCCATCAGCCCTGGAGCAGCTGAGTGCGGAGGGAAAGCACAGACAGCTCGCAGATTTTGAGGATCACATGGAGGATGTCAGCCTGGACTGGCTCAATGCCGGGCTGATCAAGGCGTCATGAGGGGTAGAAGATAACTGTTGAGACGCTGGCAAGGTGTTGATCGTAGGTATGAGACCTGAAGATCTGTCCTGGTGACTGCCCTCGTCACACCAGACAATGAAGCCCAGTTTACCTCTCCAGCTTCCAGTACAAATGGCCGTGAGGTCCACTGATGGAGGGACTCGCAGCTGTTCTGGTCTCCTCGACAATCTGGAGCACTCCCGAGGTCTTTGCAATCCTGCCTCTCGCGCCTTTGCTTGGCGTCACACCCCTGCCCACGCCTCACCCCTCCACTCCCTTGCTCTCACTTCTTGCGAGCTCTCCCTGCTCCTCAGCATGCCCTCGCATGTATGCTTCAAAGTTACACAAGGGAATGTCGTGAGTGGGTATGATCGGAAATGCATGTGGGCATTGCACAGTCATCGGGTTTCCCAACTTGGGTGTGGGGTGGGGAGAAGGTCTCTCAAGGGGCAAGTTGAGATGTGGAATGCAGGAGGTTCAGGGGGCTGCCAGGCTGGGCTCCAGGGGACCTGCGCCGTTGAGTTCAGGGCCCGTGACGGCCCGCAGCTGCTCTCCCACCACTTCGTACCCCAGGCTCGTCCTGCTCCTCCGCGCCACATCCTGGGATTGGTGTGGTGGGAGGGGAGCATGTGCATGGGACGACGCACACCTCAGACGCTCGGCCTGCTGGGGAGAAACTCCTGGCATTCGATAGATGCGTACGCCCGCACACCTTCCTCCCAGCAATTCCATGCGTGTATGCTCGGGCATCCCACTCCACGCCCCCCCCACCTGCAGCTCCGACAGGTGCGTCCGCCTCAGGTCCCGGATGGCTTCGGCCACATCGCCCTCGGGGATGTCCAGCTCTGTCAGGACGGCGGCCGCCAGCTGCAGGCTCGGCTCCAGGGTCTCGGGCACGACGGCGGTGGCCCCTGCCTTCTCAAGTTGCAGACCTGCACAGGACAGGTGGGAGGAGGGCCATGGGATGCATGACAGGATCAGCAGCCGTAGGCGCGCCTGCAGGAGAACGCAAGCCACCCGCGCCGGCGAGGGCATGAGGGCAGCTCCATGCCTCGCCATGTTTAATTGACTGTGGCCAGTCTCGAGCCTTGCCTTTGACCTGATCCCTAGGGGGGGGTACCCGGGACACAACTCCCACCCCCGCTGCACGTATCCAGTGCAACGCACCGTTTTCCACGTCGTGCGCGCGCACGAATGTCTTGACGAGTGGGAAGTGCTTGTGCAGGGCCCAGACGCTCCGGTAGTTGGCGGCTGTGGCATGTGGGTAGGGGTTGATTTGGGTAGGAAAAGGAATCAAGGAGATGTGGGAACGGGACGGCAGCAAGAGAAGCAAGATGGCAGGTATGACGGCCGTCGTGTGACTCCAGTGCAGGACATCACACCTCCTGCATGGACCTTCCCCATACCGCCAGCCAAAACACGCACCGGGGGTGTCCAGCGTGATGACGGCGCAGGCAGCCTTCTCAGCGCGCAGAGCGTGCAGCACGGCAGGCGACCCGGCATCCCCAAAGTAGACGGGCAGGTCCAGCGCACGGCCCTCCTGTGGAGACAAGTTTCGAGAGAGTTGGTGGGAAGACCGCACATATGATGGCAGTCCAGGGATGGAGGTCAGGGTATGGAATTCGATCCAAGAGGATCCTTGGCTTTTGATCACCATCCAACCCTGACTCAAACCAGCTGCACAAAACCACTGACCCAGCGGATTTCTATCAGTCACTTCCTCACACAACTCAGCGGAAAAGAGGGGCCCCTCCCTTTCTTACACATCAACCCCTTTCCTCCTCCACCCAGCCTTCTCACCGCCACTCGATTGGCGTCGACATCTAGCGCGACAAAAGGGATCAACTGCTCGCTGAGCATCTCGGCGATCAGGCGGCCTACCCGCCCAAATCCTGCAATGATGACGTGGTCGGACAGCCCCTCCACCTCCTTCTCCTGCGGCTGCATAGTCTTCATGTCCTTCTTATCCAGGATCTTGCCCAGGCGCGCACCCCACTCCGCCAGGAAGGGGGTCAGCGCCATGGACAGCGCCACCACGAGGTACAGCTCCTGTACCATCGCGGCGTTCAGGATGCCCTTGGTCACCTGTGGAGAGGGAGGAAGGGGAAAGCGCAGGATCACAAACTGCTGGTGGCAAGGGCTTGTAGAGCTGTTCGACGATGTTGCTCAGGGGAGACCCCGATTGAGGGACGGGATACCCTCGGGCCAGGCCCTTGCGCTGTAGATCTGGAGCAATACCTCGAGTCAACATCGCCATGTGCAAGTGGCTCCCAGCATCACCAGAGCACCCTGCAGTCGGCCCCTGCACGTCCGCCCCCTTCCCTGTGCATTGTCACGCGGAAACCCTCATGCCAGGCCCTCCCATCCGATAGAACCCCCCCTTCCTTTCCCACCACCAATCAGACCCCACGCACCGCTTCGCCAAAGAGGACAAAGGCGAACTCGCCGCCGGGGGAGAGGAGCAGGCCGGCACGCAGGCTCTGGACGAGGCTGAGGCCAAACACCTGGCCCACGCCGGCCATGACGGCCACCTTGCCCCCGATCAGCAGGACCATGGCGGCGAGCACAGTGCGCAGCTTGGCAACGAGCAGGCCCATGCTGATCTCCATGCCCACCGTCATGAAGAAGAGGCCCATGAGCAGGCCCTTGTACGGCGCGATGTCCGCCTCTATCTGGAGGTGGAAGGGGGTCTCTGCCAGCAGGAGGCCCGCCTGGGGAGGGGGGCGACGAGGGGGGTGGTTGCTCGGGAAGCCAGCGCACAGGGTCGGCAACAAGCACGTCGCGGTCCCAGCATTCCAGCCCCACCGCGTCCAGGGGCAGTGTGTCTCAGAGCAAGGCCACATGCACATCTCCCCACCAGACACGAGGACAACCCCCAAGCACAGCCAGAACCGCTCGAAACCAGCCGCCGTGCTTGCCGGGCCGGCCCACCAGAAATGCGCCCAGGGCGAGGCTCAGCCCCGCCAGCTGGGTGATCAGCGACGTCCCGAGCACGACGAGGAGCGTCATAGCGGCGAAGATGTCGGGGTTGCGCGTCTCTGTTGAGAGGTGGGTCGGTAGGTGGGGTTGGGGGGTGGGTGGGGTTCGGGGAGGGTTGTGTGGTTGGGCTCATGCAGGGGAAGGGAGAGCGGCGTTCGATTGGGCCCTCCATTCCCGCCACAGACACACCGCACCGATATAGAAAGCATGCTCAACAACGTGTCCACCCCATTGTCGCCCCAACGCCCTTGCCTGCAGACACAAGCACACCCGTCGATGCCTTGCTGTACCTGCAACCCGGCGGTACAGTGGCTGCAGGACCCACCGCCCCACCACCGTGATGGTGGCCATGCACGTCACGGCCTTGACAGCCGCCACCCCGATGGCCTTGGAGATGCGGATGAGGGATTCCACTGGGGGTTGAGAAGGAGAAAAAGGGAAGAGGGGGGCTGTAAGTATGACAGGCAGCTGCTTGTCGAGGGCTCCTGGGACAGACATATTGCATGTTCAGGTGGAACACACCTGACTTTGTTCCATGCGATGCTGCATCAGGCACCACCTCAAGCCCCTTCAAGCCGAGGAGCTCCTCCTCCCCCCCTCCCCCCACAAAACCCTCGCCGCTCACCTCCCCCCGCTGCGGCATTCTCGGGCGAGGGTGTGAGCAATGGGATGAGCATGAGCAGCACCACCACCGCCAGGTCCTGAAAGAGGAGGACAGAGAAGGCAGCGCGGCCGTGGCGGGATCCAGTTTCGCCCCGGTCCGCCAGCACCTGCATGCCCACCGCGGTGGTGGACAGGGCCAGCCCGCCGCCCACGATGATGGCGCCCGCGCCGCCCAGCGCGCCGCCGGAGAGCAGCAGGGAGGCACCCGCCACGGCCGCCAGGGTGAGACAGACCTGGGCGGAGCCCATTCCGAACACCATCTTGCCCATGGACGCCAAGCGGTCGAAGGACAGCTCCAGCCCGATGTTGAAGAGGAGGAAGACTACGCCCAGCTCCGCAATGTGGCGCACGGAAGACACGTTCTGTGTTGAGTTATTGTTGTTTTGGAAGGAGGGGGGGATTGTGATTGTAATTGTCGGCGCGAGGTGAGGGGATTTTATATGTGTGTGTGTGGGGGGGGGG